ACCCATACGTCCTCTTAACTCAATTAAAAATGATCATAGACTTGACCAGGGCTAAATTAATTTATAACCTAAGTAAAGAATTATTTTATTTCGCATTCTGTAGTTGCGTCAACTTGAAGATCTTATGTCATCGAAGTTGACACAATCTGCACACACACAGACCGAGAGTGAATTGTCCCTATCCGCGGTGCAAGATTTAGACAACAAGGTAGACACCAAATTGTCAAATTACCAACGATCGTTGATGGAAAAAATTGACGATGAATTAAAAACCATCGGCTGTGACGTTAAAAGTATCAAACACTGTTATGGAATGTTAAATACAAGTTTCCACGAGATGGAAAACAAATTGATTTCATTAGAAAGTAATTAGTAATTTTTATCTAAAACACGTATGTAATTATCATATATTATATATTATATATTATGATGTTTGTTTGTATAAAGATAATTCAGAGAAGCCGATGCGCAAATATAATGATATTAAGACTAGGATTGCAGCCCTAGAAAGTATGATATACATTGTCTATGTCATTTTGATGTATACTCATGAATCAATTTTATAGTTCTTACTTAACAATTTTTTTTTTATGTGTACGATATGTATGTGTGCAGGAGATGTAATGAAAAATTCATCACAAATTATCGGTTTGAACTATTCACTGCGTTCGTTGGAGTGGACTAGACCACAATCCTTCGGGTCCCCTGGAATGTTTCCTCCCGATAACCGATGTTACAACGAACAAGCTTCATTCGCTGCAGCTCCATCATATTATGATATGCCACCAACGGCAAAACCCGGGCCGAGTGGAGCAGTTTTGCCTCCATCGCCACCTGCACCCCCGTCGACTAGTGTATTTTGTCAACCACTGCCACCCGCACCCCCAGCGCCGTTGTCTCAGAATATTCCAAAAAAATCGGATTCAGACAAATCCAGCTCTTCCTCAACAGCGAAAGGTGAACAAGTGTATGGGAGGATCCCAATAACCACTGAGATCCTAAAGTCTATTGTTCTCAAGCCACCTGGCGAGAGGAAGAGAGTGAGCAAACCCTTTTCAGCGAAAGTTGAGGAAGTGTCTGGGAGGACCCCAATAACCGCGGAGATGTTAAAGTCTGTTGTTCTCAAGCCACCTGGCGAGAAAAAGAAAGTAAGCAAATCCGTGACGATATAATCGCTGCGATATTGTTGAAAATGTCCGGCGTTGGGAAAGTAGCGTCCCCATCGCCCAGTACCCTTCATTGGGCGCTGCAATAGCCCCACTCTGGTCTTAAGTGATTGGAGTGGTCTGGCCCTCCAGGTTGGGGGTTGGGCGCTGGGTTAACAACCCAGCCTCGTAAAAAAACTTATGTTCAGGAACCAAACAAAAAGCCTCAGAATAGTGGAGATAAGGAAAACAAAAATGGAAACTGGAAATCGGAAATATCTTTGGGTACATGGAACGTTCGCACATTATACAGCACTGGAGCGGCACATACAGTGACGCAAGAAATAGGGAGATATAAACTTAAAATTGTGGCTTTCCAAGAAATTAGATGGCAAGGAACGGGATCCTTGGACATTAATAATCATACCATTTTCTAAGGAGATTGCGATGATCGACGACAATTTGGTACGGGTTTCATAGTTCATAAGTCAATGGTACCAAACGTAATGGAATTTAAGACATTTAACCCGAGAATATCACTATTAACAATTAAAGCATACTGGTTTAATCTCACAATTATTAGTGTTCATGCCCCTACTGAGGAAAAGACTCAAGAAGAAAAAGACGACTTCTATGATGAATTAACGAACGTAGTATATGGAATACCTAATAACAGAATAGTGGTTATATTAGGAGACCTTAATGCAAAAGTAGGAAAAGAATTAATATTTAAACCAACCATTAGCCACCATAGCTTACATGAAGTAACTAACAATAATGGCCTCAGCCTAATCGACTTTGCAACGAGCAAAGGCTTAGTGATCAAGAGCACAATGTTTCCCCATAAAAAGGTCAATAAGGGAACATGGAAGTCACCAGATGGGAATCACACAAATCAAATTGACCATGTACTAGTCAATAACAGGTTCAAAAACAGTATTACGGATGTCAAAACGATGCGAGGAGCGGACTGTGACTCTGACCACTATTTGGTTAAGGTAAAAATTAAAGCAAGAGTGAAGAGAAGGGTGGCAACAAGGCCAAACGTAATAGACAGATATGATATAACTAAGTTCACAGATGAAATTTTCTGTAAACGTTTTAAAAGTGAGATACACAAACGCAGCAGTGAATTAAATATAGATAGTATAGACTCAATAAATAATATGTGGAGGAGGGTACAGGAGACAATAAAAGAAACATCAGCTGAAGTCCTGGGAAAACTAAAAAA